CCAGGCAGCGAGAACCGCTTCCCACGTGGCTCTGCTGGCCACTGCGAACTTGGACTCAAGAGCGCCTCCCTCTAGAGCTGCAGCCTGTTCCTTAGCATATATTCTGGCTGCTATCATCACAGCTATAAAGAAGGCGGCGATGATAACTACGTACACTATGAGAGCGGTATTCTGCGACGAGAGCCCGCATTGTTGGCTCTCGGCCACTGTGTCTTCGATCACAGACTTGCAGTAGTTGATACTGGACGACGACTGCGGACAATTTTTGACGGTATTGGCTGCTGAGCAGCACGAATTGGACGCAAACATAGTCGGCTTTGTGCATGCGAGGGTACAGGAACCAGACTCCACGGAGCTGCCCATGAGAATCGACGAGATGGTGGTGGTGTCTGTCCTCCATGTGTCGAGCTTTTTGAAGAAGCCCGAGTTCATGACGCACATTGCGTAGTTAGGGTCGGACACGATGATGTAAGACAAACACGTGCTGAGACGATCTGCGTCGTTGGAGGATGAAGAGCCAGCAGTGGACGTCATGAGGGACACTACAGAGGAGGAGGAGGAAGAAGAAGAAGTTGCGTGGTGGACGGTGGTCCACTGGTGACAATTTTGGTTGTTGGCGATAACCGTTCACCGGTGTAATGAGGAAGAAGTGGTGGAAGGGGTGGGCAGCGTTTTGAAGAGTGCGGTGGTGCTGAAGCCACGCGGAGGCAGGTGGACAGCTTAAAAGCCTTCTCAAAATGTCACCATCTTAGCCATTGGAGTTTCGCTGTAGTTGCAATGCAACGTCTTCTGTTCGAGCGTGATTCTTTTAACGGATCTCCAGTGAAACCGCGAAAGCTGCTAAATGAACCCAAGTGAAAATCCAGCTGCTTTGCCAGTGAATCGCTATTTGAAATCGGCGATGATCCCATTAGGAGTGCTCGGTGTGAGCAGTGCTAAAATTATTAATAGTCGGAACCCAAATAAACGGGGTCAAAATAGGGTCGTAATAAAATATGCTTGGATGCCATTCAGACGAAAAAACCCTTTAAAAATTTAATGGCTTTTTTTCGTCTGAACGGCCAATGGGTTATTTGGGTTATTCAGAACCCACCTCAAAATAGTCCAATTTTGGGTCGTAATAATATATGATTGGATGCCATTAAGACGAAAAAAAACAATTAAATTTTTAATGGCTTTTTTTCGTCTGAATGCCATCCTAGCCAATCAGATCTCTCATGTCCCATAACAACGGACACAAAATAAATAATACTAGCAGTATTTTGTCGATTTGCTCGTAGTACTCTTACCACAAATAATATTATATCGCTCAACATTAATATCATTTGCTCGATAGCAAAATGAATTTACTACATTGTTACCGAAAACTACTACGGAATTTTTGTGCACGTTGTTCAGCAAAACATATACATTTCTCACACGTCTAACATATAGATATTCAGATTACTTTATAACATTTGTATAGCCAGACAATATCTTTAAGCGGACACTAAGCCAATCATAACAACGAATTTCACGAGAATAACCTAAAGTTGAGAGATTTGCAGAACTATATTTACTTCGTTCAGAAACGCACTATCTCACATTGAAGGACTATTTTTAATCGATCTGTACCCACTCTCTCACATTTACCTGACTCTTCAAGAACAATGCCACGAGGACGAAAGCGT